GACCCTGGCCTGGCATCAACCCCATCTCAGCTCAGCGTACAAGGACTTGCCACCTTGCCTGAGTACTCCTACTCTCAAATATTAGCCAGACCTATGCCCAGGCAGGTTGTGCCAACAGCCACTGAGAAACTCAAACTATTTCAGATCAGAGACAGCAGACAGGAGTGCCTGTCAGTGAGGATCTGTATTAGAGGTGGCATAGGGGAAAGCTGAGGCAGAACTGTAAGGGGTCTAGAATGGTGACGGAAAAAGCCAATGTGACACCAGGGCCTCAGCCTCAGAAGTCCAAGGCAAAGGCAAAGAGATCCGGCATTATTTCCAACCCTTTTCCGGGAAGACTTACCACTTGCTCATCTTTCTGATTTCAGCAACAGAAAGAGCCAAATCTATGGGGAAGGGTCCTTGCTGATGCCACGTTTCCTTCCAATCATGGCTAAGAGGAGAGCTGTTCTGCTTTAGTATGAAGCACGCTGGACTTGCTGGGAAGCCTTCACAAATCGCTCTTCCTCTCTGGGCTTCAGAACACTGAAGGAAGAGCCCTGAAGGGCTTTAATCAGGACAGTGAGCACCATCGGGTTTGCATGTTTGAGTGATCACTCCGATTGCTGTGCGCAGGATAGATCAGAGGGGACAACAGTGGAGACCAAGAGGAAACTCTGCAGTGGTCAAGACAAGAGGTGCTGGAGGCCTGGGCTAGGGAGGGGGCAGAGGAAGTGGTGGCAGAAGGATACTTCTGAGAGCATTCAGTAGGCAGAATCCACAGGATTTGATGGCCAGCAGATATGGGGGTGAGGGAGGGCTCAAGGGGAACTGGTGAATTCCAAGGCTCTGCCTTGTGCTACAGGTGGGTACTAGTGAAACCCACTAACATGGGCAGGTTGGAAGAGCAGGGTGGGTGGAGGAAGGTGTTGGTGAATTCCAGTCTAGAACTGTTGAGTTCAAGATGTCCATGGCACTTCCAAGTGGAGGCGTCCAAAAATGAATTGAGAATATAGGCCAGGAGTTCAGGTGGGCAAACTGGGCTGAAGATAGGAATTTGGGAGACTTGAACCCTTCCCAGGGATAATATATAGGGAGAGAAGAGAAGGGGACCTAGGATGGAACCTTGGGACACTCCAACATTTAAGGAACCAACAGGGGGAGAGAAGTCAGCAAAGAAGCCTGAGGAGGAGTAAGGAGAGGTGGGGGAAACAAAGTTGAAGAGGTGGTGTGCATGTTGGACCTATAGAAAGAATGATATTGAATATGGCCAGGAGACAGGCTGTGAAAACTCAAAGGGTACAGTGACCATGACCTTGGAAGTCACTGGTGACTGCAGAGAAAGCAGTTTCTGGAATCCTTCTAGGGGCAGAAGCCAGAGTGATGGAGTTGAAGGATGAACTGAGGAGTTGATGTGGAGATTGGAAGTGTAGACCACTCTGGAAAGGTCTGCTCTGGAGGGGATCAGGTAGGATCACAGCTGGAGAAAAGCCTGGAGTTTGAGGCAGAGAGGTATGTTCTAAGCACAAGAAGCCTTCATGCGAGTAAATGCTGGTGGGAGGGATCCACTAGAGGAAGAAATTAAAGGTACAGGAAAGAGAGCTGTTGGGGGAAAGAATGCATCATTGAATGTCTGTCACTTATCGTCATACAAGTCACTTCCCATACCCTTTTAGTATTTAATTCTGTCAACCTGCCTGTGGTGTCACATAACCATGCTCACTTCCCTCCCAGCACTTACCACAGTCAGTAAATTATTTTAATTATTCTTTGGCTTGTTTATTGACTCCTTTCCACAGATCTCAGCTCCAGGGATTTTCCAGTCCCCATCACTCCTATTTTACTTTGCTTGATTTTTCATCATGGCTCTTAAGACTACCTGATACTATATTACTTATGTGTTACCGGCTTTTGGTCTGTCTTCCCCACCAAAAATGTAAAGTCTAGGGGACATGGGACTAAGCCTGTCTTGTCTCCGCTACACCCCAGCCCCATAACTGGCCAAGATCATATTAGGCACACAATCCATGTATGGAATGAATGAATGATCTAAGAAAGACTGCTGAGAACTACAAAGTACTGTTCAAAGTGAAAGACAGGGAGAAAAGCCTGACACTGATCAAACCTCTACTATCTACCATATATATGGGTTCATTCATCCAAACTTCATAGCAACTTTTTGAGGTAGGAATGATAGGTGCCTTTTCAGAACTGAAGAAATTGGGCTCTAAAGAGCTTTTAAATGCTGTCAGAAATCACACAGCTAACATGTGCTGGGACCAGCACTGAAGGCCAGAATGCTTGCTTTGGTTTATTTGTTTTTCTCAAAAACCTGAGCTCCTTTCCTGCCTCACCCCCCCAACCTCCTATGTCCCCATCCCCCACCCCATGGCCTCTGGGAACGATCACAAATCCCTCCCTCCACCTGTCCTCAGGACTGCAGGCCTGACACACCTCAGTGTGTGCTCCAGAACCAGACCCCTGGCTGCAGCCATATGGGGGCTGGAGGGGGAGCCCTCCACGGGGGGTTGGTGGTTGGGGCTGAGTGGAAGGACAGTCAGGAGAGAGATTTGAGAGAGAACGTGGACAGGACATGATGGGTGAAGGGATATGGTGGCAAGAAAGAATGAGGTGCCCAAGATGGACTCCCAGGCTTCAGGCTCAGGGAGGGTGGGTGGCCAGTGCTGCTGAGGGCTGAGATCCAGAGAAGGGAAGCAGCAAGGGAAGGGAGCAGACAGGCCTGTGGACATCCAGGCGGTAGTGTCCAGTATAAAGCTCAGGGGAACAGTCTGAGTTGGGAGTGGTCAATAGAGGCATCATGATGGATGCTCTTATAGAGGCAGCGTGGTGGGAGGGAGGGCCTAGGGTGGGCAGAAGAGGGTCTGTGAGCATGCTCAGAGGAGAAAGCAGTCAGTAAGATGGGACGAGAGCATCCCTTCTGAACTATGTAGCTGTGGAGACAAAAGACAAGACAAATGAGCTTTTCTGTGTGTTCACTCGACAGAATATTTTATAGCCTCCCTGGATAAACAAGCTGTCATCTACCACCAAACCCTCTATCAACTGAAGCAGCTTGGGGAAAAGATAATGCTGCAGGTTTGAATACTCTTAGCTGCTGTGCCTAATTACTACACAAGCAAACAAACCAGGAGAGTTGTAGGCAAAGAGGGGCTTGGCCGCTGCCTATGGAGGAGAGACATTTCCTTGCTCCCAGGGGAGGGATGGAAGACAAGCACAGACATTTATTGAGCACCTACTGTGTGCCACACACCTGGAACATGTCATCTTATTTAATACTGTATAAGAGGCATCATCCCCATTTTGCAGATGAGGAAACAGAGGCTCAGAGAGGCCTGACAATGCACCCAGCTTAAAGGATTCACCCAAGAGTCTTCCCAATGCACTTCACAGGCTCCCCGGAGAAGATCCAGGTTGTTCCCTTCCCTCCTTCCCCAATCCTGCAGCGTTAAGTCCAAATGCCATGCCCCTGATTGTGCAGCTCTGTTTACTATTCTTTTCATCAGGTGTCTGTTTGCAAGAAATAAAACTTTTGGGTTCAGCAGCAGAGCAATAACTATGAAAAAAACTGCCACTGAGAGCATGGAATTCAGCTCCCAGAATTACTGTATATTCAAAGCAGATTTCCAAAACACCATTTGACATAGGTGGTAATTCCAAGGGAACCCGTTTGCCTCTTTCCTCCTGCCCTGCCCCAGGCACATACATCCAATGTCAAATCAGCAAGAAGAAAAGGAGGTGAGGGGGATGAAGGACAACTAGACTGCCCCTCAAGGAGATGCCAGCAGTCTTCTCTTTCAGGAGACAGACCAGCTCTCCTTCCTCACCCTGCAGATGGGGTCAGCAGCAGTGAACAGAGTGTGACAGAATTAGATCCCAATCCTCTTGCCTCCTAGCCCACTGCAATCTTCCCAAGACAAACTGCAGCTTCATAAGAAGCCAAGAAATCCATTTATGAGGAAAATTTATATATGTATTACTAGTAAGATTTAAATTAATTATTTTACTTTCAAAAAGAATCCCAATATGTAGCTTCCAATGCAAATGTGCAAAGATCACATTTCTATAAAAAAGAGAATGAATATCCAAAGAGCAACCAGAACATTCCTAGCACTGTCTGTCATCATGAATTTGCATGACTGTACACGACACTCCAACCATACTGGCCTTTTTTTTTTCAGTCTCCCAAGGCCCCCAACTTTGATCTTATCTCAGGACCTTTTCATTTGCTATTCTCTCTGCCTGGAAGATATATCTCTAGGTTTACACAACTAAACTCTTATCATTGAGATCTCAATTCAAATGTTACCTCCTCTAAGAAGCCTTCTCGGACTACCCTACCTCAGGCAACCACACTGTCACTCTATACCAGTGGATTTCAAACTTGAACATGTATCAGATTCACCTGGAGGGCTTCAAATACAGATTGCTGGGTCCCATTCCTCAGAGTTTCTAATTCAATAGGTCTGAGTGGGTCCTGATAATGTATATTTCTCACAAGTTTTCAGGTTGTGTTAATGCCATTAGTCTAGGAGCAAAGCTTTGAGAGCCACTGTTCTATAACATCACCCTGTTTTATTGTCTTCATGGTGTTTATCACAGTCTGAAATTATCTTGGTAATATATTCAGTTGCTTTACTATGGTCTGATTTTCATACTTATTGGCTGCTCCTGGGAAAGGGGTATCTGTCTGTTATTCATTATAGTATCCCCAGTACCCAGAGCAGAGCCAAGTACATGGTAGATGCTCAATGAGTATTTGAATAAATGAATTAGTGAATGGGTGGGTGGGTGGATAGAAGGACAGATGGAGGATGGATGGAGGATGGATGGATGATGGGTGGATGGGTGATGGATGGATGGATGGATGGATGGTGGACGGATGGATGGATGGATGATGAATGATGGATGGTGGATGATAGATGGATGGGTGAGTGATGGATGATTGTGAATGGATGGCTGATGGATGGAGGGAGGGGTGGTGAATGATGGATGATGGATAGACGGATGGATGGATGATGGATGATGGATGATGATGGATGGATAGATGGATGGATGGATGGATGGACAGATGGATGAATAAATGAATGGATGCTCACCTCAGCCTCTGGATTCCTGCTTCTCTACATGCCATCTTTGTTCTACACCAAGTTGATCCACAGGTGAAAATAATCCCATCTTCAATTTCAAAATCCCACTGATAAAAAAGCAAGAATGTAGAACATTTTGCCAAAGATGTTGGAAGGCCATGGCCAGGAGACACATAATACAAAACAGCAAGTGAATAAAACAGCACTTAGGCATGGCTGCTTTTAAAAGTCATTGGAGCTATCCTATCACCTTAAATGGTCCCCAGACAAAAACCATCTTAAAGGCTTCTCTCTCCATACCTCCTCCTCAGTGTCCTCCTCCTCCTTGCTCTTTTCCTCGTCAAATTTCTAAAAAATAATCTTTCTCATTTTCCCATGTAGAGCAGCTTGACCATAATTTTTTCATTGCTTGAAGACCCCAAGCACACAAGTACACCTCATCTGTCTTTAAAAATTCCTGCATCAGGGCGCCTGGGTGGCTCCGTCGGTTGAGCGTCTGACTTCAGCTCAGGTCACGATCTCGCGGTCCATGGGTTCAAGCCCCGCGTCGGTCTCTGGGCTGATGGCTCGGAGCCTGGAGCCTGCTTCCGATTCTGTATCTCCCTCTCTCTCTGCCCCTCCCCCGTTCATGCTCTGTCTCTCTCTGTCTCAAAAATAAATAAACGTTTAAAAAACATTTAAAAATTCCTACATCTTTGGGGCACCTGGGTGGCTCGGTCTGTTGAGCGTCCCACTTCAGCTCAGGTCATGATCTTGCAGTTTGTGAGTTCAAACCCTGCACTTGGCTTGCTGCTCTCAGGGCATAGTCTGCTTCGGATCTTCTGTCCCCATCGCCTCTGTCTGTACCCCGCTTGCGCTCTCTCTCTCTCAAAAATAAATAAAACATTTTAAAAAATCCCTGCATCTTGGAGACTCTTTCCTCTTTTCTAATATTCATACAGTCCCTCGTATCACTTCACCATGTGTGTCTGTCTCCTTGGCTAAAGAGGCAAGAGATTTAGACAAAGAATCCAAGTTCAAATTTAGTCTCTTTTCTGACAAGCTGTATGGACCATGAACTTGGTCAAATTGTTGCCCTCTCGGAGCTTCAGTTTCCTGATGCACTCGGGAAAAATGCTGACTGTTCAACAGTACTTATAATCAGTGGCATTACAATATTCACCAAAAAAGCCTTCCAAACTATATAGCACATGAACATTACCTATTATCACTACCCCTAGTTTATAATTCCTTTGGGAGTGAGGCTCATACCTTATGTGTGTTTTCATCCACCCCTCCAATGCCTCACACATTGAAAACGCTTCATAAATGCCTTAAGAGGTAAATAAGCCTTTGGATAGCACACTAATGAACATTTAAAGAGGGAGTAAAACATCACCTTTTAAAACCTTCTCCTTCTCCCTCCCATGGCGAACTGTGCTCTGATTTGATTTTTCTCTGTTCTAGAAGCTCCACCCTGGCCCATAGGCAGAAATTAGTCTGTGTGCAGTGAGATGACTGCCTCCTGATGGCACAGCCCAGATGACCAAACAATGAAGTGTTAGAAGGCCCTGGTGAAACATTAAGATCTCAAGACTTGTTTTTGATGCATTCAACAAGCTAATCCAGTGCCTCTTTGTTCAGAGAGGTTGGAATTTGCTGCTCTTCTGAAATTGTTGTCCCTAGTCACTTGGAGACCCCAGAAAAGGGGCTTCCTCTCAGAATAATCTGGTCACCCACATCCCTGCAGATGCCCCTCTCTCATCATGGGCAGGGGCCATCACCGCCCCGACCACTCTCACGTCTAGGCTCAAATATTGCCTTGGGACTATTTCATTTTTATTTTTATTTTATTATTACTATTTTTTAGGGATTATTGAATCTTAAGAGACACAGAGGTACCTGGCAGTGGAGCTGCCACAATCTGTAACAAAAAGGCCCTACATGATGAGCTGTTTGCCTGTTGGGGGAAGGAAGAATCAAATAGGACTAAAGCCAATTCCCACCCAGGAATAGACCTCAGGCAGCACCGACGCCTGGACCTGCTGAGTGAGCTATGTCTAGAAAATTCACCTCTGGATCTCCCAGGTTCACAGCCATCACTCAGAAGGGCACTACAGCTGCACTTTACTGGTTTGTTGGCAGAGTGTCCAGAATAATCAGGGGGTTGGGGAGCACACCTGGAGACTATAATGACTCTTATGAGAATGGCAAAGGTTACCTTCTCTCGGCCAGCAGTAGCATCAGCAAAAACTGAGCATCTCCTTAGAAAATTTTGGGGAGCCCTACAAGACTAAATGTCTCTGGGAGTCCTCTGTGCTGTCTCATGCTTTCTATAGCTGGATTCTCTCTCTGGAACTTCAATCTTGAGCAGAGGTACAAAGTAACTTTTAAAAATATAGAGGTTAATCCCATCTCCCAGGGACTCTGCTTCCTACCCTCAGGAGCTGCCTTGATTTCCACACCTGCTCTCCAGCCCCCATAGGCTCTGAGGCTCTGAGGCTCTGAAGGCCCTGAGAACCTTCATCTTATGAGGGTGAGCCTCACTTAGTTGCTGAATCTTGTAATATGATCCTTGAGGAAAGCAGGACCATATTCTCTGAATTCTCCTCTTGGTTTCCCTACATACAGATAATGTAAACATTCAGCAAAGAGGCTGGGCACATTCGCCTCAAATGATGAGGGACTGAACCACTTCCCCTTTCCTTCTGAAGCAGATATGCACCAAGAGGAGAATATACACTCTTTGTCCCAGATCTCCCAGGGCAGGAAAGAAGTTGATGGTAGAGCTTCAAACTTAGTGATCTTTGCTTGCCTTGTGAACTTCAGTGCCACTGTTAACTGTTCACACAGTGAGCAGGAAAAGTGGCTCTCAGAAGTAGAACCATTTTCCAAAAGTAACTCATAGTCTTTCACTACCCCAGAAGGAGTAGAATTGACCCTACGCCATTGGGATGTATCATACCAAGAATCCCTGGAGGATGAGAAATGCAATTCTCACCAACAATTTGGGGTAAGTATTGTTGCCTGAAGTTCTTTCTGTCCTCCCCAAAGAGCGTCACAAAATCCATTTGACTGGGTTTAATTTAACATACGTGGAAGCACATCTGCCCAACTCCCCAGCTCCATACTTCTCTTGTCCTGGCAGAGAGCCTACAGCTTCCTTAATGAACCCTGAGTAGGAGTCTGACCTTTCCCCCAGCAGAGAGCCTTCCTCTAAGAAGGTCAAGGAGTTCCCAAAGCATTCTTCCTGACATGTTCCCTTAGGGCACTATGTCAGTCAGACCAGGGAACTGATGTAAAAAACAACCCATTTCAGTGACATCAGGATACAAGACAGGTCAGTTAGAATTGTGGAAATTTCTCCTCTGGGCAGTCATTCAGAGACCCAGGTTCTTTCCCTCTTGTGGCTCCACCCTCCTCTCAGTGCTTGGAGTTCTCTCCATGTATCCAGTGGATGGTGAAAAGGAGAGAAAGTTGAGAACTGCATAGGAAATTTTGCAAACCATGCTGGGAATTGGTCTATATTGCCCACATTCCATTGGTCAGAACTCAATCACGTGATCTCACCTAATTTCAAGGGAGTCTGGGAAATGTAGTCAAGCTCCATGCCCAGGAGTAAAGGAATGCCACTGACCCTAAACATTTGTGTTGTCATGGAGTAGGTCTGCCTCCCCTGGGCTGTGAGCATCTCAAAAGCAGGATCTATTTTTGCCTCTCTGACTCATGACCCTCCAGGCTCTTGCAGGCATTTGATTTGCAATCTCAGTCCTGTTGTGTTTTCAAGTCTTCAATCGCTCATTCCCTCAATCATTCAGTCAGTCAGTCAGCAGTTGTTTGCAGGACAGTGGGGATGAAAACAAGAGATGCCTCTGTCCTCAGACAGCTCATAGCTTGTAGCAAAAGACAGACAAATACAGAAACACATCACTGAAAATGTAGGATGTGCTATGGACCCCAGATTTTTAAATTTGCATAGACACCATCAGCGTTTACCCACATCCCCTCGGCACTCGCCACTCCTGTGCAAGGTGATGGCTTCCTAGTGCAAGTACCTGCATCCCTCCCTTGAGTATCCCCTGTGTGCAGGCTAGAAGTGCTGGAGAATAAATGTCCCCAGGAATAGCCTTCAAGCAACAACTCACCAAAGTTAGCGCAAAAACACCCCAGGCTCCCTCGGCCCTCGGGGGGCATAACCATGCTGTATGTTCTAAACTGCCCATCAGGAGTTCCCAGTGGCCAATGGCAGTAACCTGCTCAATAAGACAGCCTATGCATTCCCTTCCCTGTCCAACCTTCCTGGTTGCCTCTTCAGATCCCCTCCCAGAAAAACTACTCACATGCATATCTTTGTCTGCTTCTGGGGGAGCCCAATCTAGAACATGCACCAACAAATACATGAGGTGCACAGCCCTTTTACAGGTCTTCAGAGTCTGTTAACCTCAAATGGAAATGTACTGTTGGCTAGCCTGTAATGGATCAGGGGATATGTCTAAACAATTCACTAGTTTTTCTTTAAAACAATCATAAAAATCAGGCTCAAACTAACGAAATATAATAACATTATATTAAATATATTAATATAAAACAATAAGCATAATCATGAAAATGCTGCCCAAGCAAGCACAGAGGGCACGTGTTCCAGCAGGTGGGGCTGCTGGTGTTGTCTCCCTGTGGTCTCCCCGCACATTAAGTCAGCTCATTTAGTCCCTCATAGGGAAGCGGGGCCCCACAGCTGCAGTGACCTTCCCTTCAACTAACTCCATGGCTGTCTCTTCTTGAAAGAAGGAAGGCCTATGAAAATCATGCAGTAGATCAGGACTCTAGAATCTTCTACACGTTATTTCATCGGTTCCTCCAAACTGACCTTTGAGGAAGGCAGTATCATCTACCTCTCCTGTGGGGTAACAGGGGCTCAAGAGGATCAGGTAGCCTGTCCGAGATCACAGGGCCCACATCCACATGACTTGAAACCGACACTACTGCCTTCCCCCTTAGAGTGTGTGTGTGTGTGTGTGCGTGTGTGTGTGTGTGTGTGTGTATTTCCTGCATTTAGAGACTGGGATACGAGTGTTAATACTCAACCTTGGGTCTTGGAGGAGCCACAGTAGGAATGGTCATTCAGCCT